AGGTGTACCGCCGCGTCACTGAGGAAATACGCACAACATTCCCGGACACCTCGCAAACAATTTCGTTTAATGAGGCCAGGTCCAAGCTCCCGTATCTCTCAGCAGTCATCACAGAGACCATGCGCATCAATCCGTCCGTTGGTGGCTTCCTTCCACGCTGCGTTCCGGCAGAGGGTGCAACAATTCAGGGACACCACATCCCAGCTGGTACACAGATTGCATTACTATTACTGCTTGCCAGCACAACCCTCAGATGTGGAAGAACCCGGAGGTGTTTGACCCGAGCGCTTCCTTGGCCCTGACGTTACGAAAGATTGAAGGATGTGCTGACATTCAGCTCGGGTGTTCGAGTTTGTATCGGCCGTAACCTTGCCTGGGTTGAGCTCTACACCGTTCTTGCCAATGTCTTGCGCAGGTACGATTTTGAATTGCCCGAGATGCGCCGTATGGCCCACACAAGCTCAGCGACAAGGGAGTTCCGGCCGAGATTCCTGGCGAATCGTTTATTGTCACATCTCCTGTAAATCCGAAGGACAACTGCTGGGTCAAGATTTCCATGCCAAAGCATAGCGTGTTTGCATCAATAAATGCTGTCTTGAAGCTTCAGATCTTACGGCGATTTATTAGCCAGCATGTCCGCTAATTGCTGCTGGTTTGACAAACAGGGGATGGCCCCTGTGCATAGGCAAATTTCCGGAGCACTGCCGGCACTATAAACTACTGAAAATGGTATTTTTGCGGCGTGACCATTGTTCAAGTACACACATGTGAAATTGGTTGCTCGCTGTTGCCAGCAGTAAACTGTCTTGACTAGAAATGCCAAAGGGTGCCGCGGCTATTAGCGTGCCTTTCCTTCCTTTCGACTCCTCCACCACTTATTTCTCTAACCACCTTGGCTCATATTTCACCATGCTATTCGATATGGATTACCAGGCAATCTCGTCGTCCTCTGATCGCCCCAGTAGCAACATTGGTCATTGCTACTTATGTAGCGTCTGCTATCAGGCACGCATTCTTCTCGCCGCTCTCGAGTATACCTGGTCCGCTCATAAACAAGTTTTTCCAGTCTGCCGCTGCTGTTCAAAGTTATGACCGGCCAGTACCACGCATATTCGACAGAGCTGCATGCGAAATACGGCGAGATTGTGCGCATCGGCGCCAGCTACGTGTCCCTGTCCAACACATCGGATACACGGCTTGTCCTTGCCACCCACGGCATTTAAGAAGGGAGTGGCGTATACCAAGGGCCAGCTGACAAAGCAGAACTCATTCTCGACTGTTGATCCAGAGTTCAACAAAGTGCGGCGGCCGCCCAGATTGGAGATACCTTTGCGATGCACACGCTACGGGGTATCGAGGACCTGGTTGTTGGCGCGGGTGCTAACATCGCTGATCAAGGCGTGGGATGCCGAGATTTCCAAGCAAGGAGGAACAGCAAGAGTCAACTACTTTTATGCACTACATCGCATGGGTTTGACGTGATCGGTGCGGTTGGGTTTTGGCCAGAACTTCAACATTCTGCAGACAGGCAACACGGAAGTAATTGACAATATGCAGAGCATGATGCACTTGAAGTCAATAATCACTGTGATGCCATTTGTCAACCGGGTTCCATGGCTATTCCCAAAGCTGAAGAAGTCTGCGCAATCACTTTTAGACTTCATTGACGACGCCAATCAGGATGCGCAGACAGCTTAATTGAAACGACAGGTGCCCACCACGGGTTGACATCCTGCAAAAGATGATTGATGCCAGCGATCCGGCGACAGGCCAGATTATCGATGGAGATAACCTCGTATCTGAAGTTGGACTGATGCTGATTGCTGGAACAGACACCACCAGCAACACACTGTCGTATACGCTTACACATCTGCTCCACAACCCTGGTGTCTACAGGCGGGCAACGGAGGAGGTACGCAGTGTATTCCCTGATGCCGTCGCAAACGATTTCGTTTAATGACGCTAAATCCAAGCTGCCCTATCTCTCAGCAGTAATCCACGAGGCTATGCGATTGAATCCATCCGTGTCTGGCTTGCTACCACGCCAGCTTCCTGCTGACGGGGCAAACGATCCAAGGCCATCACATCCCGAAGGACGCACAAATATGCATATCTGTTTTTGCCTGTCAGCGCAATCCGCGGACTTGGGATAACCCCAATGTGTTCGACCCAAAGCGTTTTCTTGGCACCGACTCGGCTGAGAAGTTGAAGGATGTGCTGACTTTCAGCTCGGGTGTTCGAGTCTGCATCGGACGAAACCTCGCCTGGGTTGAGATCTATACGGTTCTTGCCAACATTCTGCGCAGGTACAACTTCTCGCTGCCCGAGGACGCCCCATATGGCCCTCACAGACTGGACAGGCTTGGTGTTCCAGTCGAGATCCCAGCCGCTTCATTTATCGGTTACCGGTCCGAGGAATCCAAAAGACAACTGCTGTGTCAACATTACTCTTGCTGGCGGCTTGATCACTGGACCATCTCGAACGCACCAATCTTTACATATATATAAGATTTTATAGTCCAAAAAATGACCAACCGTCCGCTAAAATCTTTTTAGTTGGTTAAAGCATAAAACTCTTAAGCTTCAACATGGGTTTAGGTGGTTTGCTCTGTAAACTCCTTCTTGATCTTGTGCGGCATCTGACCTAATCGATGAAACTAGGGCGACAAGTTGTTATTGCAGTGGTCACAGATCTCCGCTATATATCTCCATTGGTTCAGCGCAAGAGCTGCTCTCGTTGTCAGTCGGCCTGATAACTTCCATGGCATCATCATGGTGGTCATCACCGGCTGCGCAACACTCTTAGGATATTTATCTATGAGCACCTATTGAATAAGGCCATATAGCTCTTCTAGCAGTCATGCAATATTTGTAGGCTTATTTTATAAATTAATTTGGCTTATGAACATGCGTAAGCGGTAGTATTTGGGCCACAATGGATCCAGTCTGTATAGACTGATTCAAGAGACTGTATCAGTGCCAAGGGCCCCAAGAACCATGCAAGCCAGATCATTTTTAATAAAAGGTTTTTAATGCTATGCAATCTGCAATACAGCAAAACTGAACAGCATCATTTCTCTTCTTGCCTATTGAATTTCGCAAATGAATATTACCCGCAGCACTACTGTCATAAAGACATCACTTGGTGGTATTGGCTTCCGTGATTCTATGTTGCCTCACCTAGAGCAATTTGTACACAGTATCAATATCATCAAAGAGCATACATACATGCTTGCACGATGGATACTACTCCATCAACTAGCTGACAATGATGCTTTTTAACCCTGAAATATTTGTGAAAAAGGGATTCTTTCGTTCAATTATTTATTTATATATCACAATCTAAAAGGTCACTATTTATTCATCGATCTAGGTCGTGGCGATTTACTGTATATGATGCACGAAAATAGCAGCAATGGGAAAGAGGGTGAAAAATGCTCTACCGCTACACACGACAGCAGCGCAACAAGGAGCTCAAGCTGCGCCACTATGACAGGATTCGTTGGGATACAAAGGATCAAGTCCCAGAAGATGCTGTCCGCAGAGCAGAGGCAGAGCTTTCCAAACACTGCTGCCGGACCCTTAGCCCCAGCAAAATTCCGTGCCTACGTTTGCTGCCCGTGCATCTGTGCGGTGTGTCCTAGCACCGTTTTATGCCAGCACGATGATAGCGCGAAGGTTATCAGAGCAGCAGCCCACTAAGTCAAACAAGCAGCACCAGAGGCGCTGGAAGGCCCATCCGGGTGTCGGGACCAGTCCCAAGGTGTACCCGCTTCACCGCAAGCTGCGCCTTGATTCATTCATGAACCAGGCCCGTGCAGACCACAGGCTTGCCCGCGAAACTCCGGAGCAAGTTCGGTCCAGATCCAGTGCTGATCATGGGCAATTGGAGTGCGGCGATGGCCCGACACCATGCGCCGATTCGTGGCAAGGGATGGCGCGACAAGTTCAAGCACTATGGCTTTGAAGTCTATCTGATCGACGAATTCCCGGACATCGTCGATGTTGTCAACCCATGCTGACTAGCAGCCGAGCTCGCATCGCAAGCAGAGCAATTCTAGTATGTAAAACCAATACCCTGCATGCAGGTGTAATGATATACGCTCTCGGGCACGTGAATTGATAATGGCTTCCATACAGCGGAACGGTAAATGGCTGGGATTGGCTTGGGCAATTAGGATGATGCACTACTATATGCAACCCGCCCTTCGCCAGCCACAAGGCTGAGAACAATGTTTGAGATAGCACTATTCCCACCTGACATAGTTGCTCCCACAGCCATGCATGGTTGTGTGGTAGTATCCAAGCTGGGTTCGTCTTAAATGCGCTCCCAGCTCCCTCACTCTATCTCCCTTCTTTTCCAGCGCCCTTATAATAATTCTCATTTTCAATGACTGCCGACTATTTAGACAACATATTCAACATATACTCTGAGAAGCTATCCATCTGGCCAGTGCTTTTGCTGGCTGCTGCAGTATACATGGCACAGCTAATTTACTTGGCATTTTTCTCACCGCTTTCCAATATTCCTGGGCCGCTCCTGAACAGACTCTCCAATCTTCCGCTCAAGTATCGCATGATGCGTGGTCAGTATCACTCGTATTCAGCTGCACTTCATGCCAAGTATGGTGAGGTTGTACGAATCGGACATGATCATGTCTCCTTATCAAACACTGCAGACTGCCGCTTCGTTCTCTCCACCCATGCTTTTCCAAAGGGGAGGATGTATGATAAGGGGTACAGCAGCAAAGGGTTCGTCGTCAATACCTTCACAGCGGTCAACCCTGAGGTCAACAAATTCCGTCGCCGCATGATTGGAGACGCCTTTGCAATTCATACGATGCGTGCAGTTGAGGGCATGGTTGTGGATGCGGGTGTTGGTTCGCTCATAAAGACATGGGATACTGAGATTTCAAGGCAAGGAGGACAGGCCTGTATCAACTACTATGACTCATTCCTCCGCATGGGGTTCGATGTTATTGGAAGACTATGCTTTGACAGGAACTTTAACGTTCTCCAGAAAGGAAACACCGAGGTTATCGACTGGATTCACGATACTGTGACGTTTGCCGCATTCCGTGGAATGGTTCCTTGGCTCTCAAGACAGCCGTGGGCATTCAAGAAACACAAAGACTCCCGCGCTAACATCAAGAGGCTGGCAGACACAACTGTCGAAACTCGCCAGAGACAAATCCAAGAAGCTGGTGCACCGCTGCGCGTCGATTTGCTACAGAAGCTCGTCGATGCTAAAGACCCCGAGACTGGAAATATATTTACACCCCTCGAGATTCAGTCAGAGATCATTCTCATGCTCACCGCTGGGTCTGATACTACTAGCAATATGCTTACATGGACTGTAATGAACCTGATGCATTATCCGGAGATCTACAGACGTGTAACTAGAGAAGTGCGCGCCGCATTCACCGATACCTCCCGGACTATTTCGTTTGCCGATGCCACATCGAGGCTGCCGTATCTCACAGCTGTTATCTATGAGTCAATGCGGCTAACACCGTCGTTCTCGAGCATACTGCAACGGTGCGCACCTACTGGTGGTACGTCTATTCAAGGATTCGTCATTCCGAGTGATTCACACATCTGTGTGTCAATTTCCGCTTGCCATCGCAACCCACGCCTGTGGAAGGACCCCGGAAACCTTTGATCCCGAGCGCTTCCTTGGTCCAGATTCGGCAGCACGGATGAGAGATGTACTGGTGTTCAGTTCAGGCGTTCGCATATGTATTGGAAAAAACCTGGCCTGGTTTGAACTGTACTTGGTGCTTGCGAACATTCTGCGCAGGTATGACCTTTCGCTGCCTGTAGATGCACCGTATGGGCCACATAGGCTGGACAAGGTTGGCGCTCCGGTCGAAATTCCAGCGCAATCGCTTCTTGTCACTGCTCCGAGGAATCCCAAGAGCGATTGCCGCTTAATCATTTCTTTGGCAGAGACAGGCTTTTGAAAATGATTGCCATGCATCTTGCGCACACAAACGCTGCCTGCTATCCTGTCGCTTGAATACGATGCTTTTTAGGATTAGGCACGTTGCGTAATTCCTGTTAGGCTAAACTTTGTATAGTATCCTTCGATTTATTGGCCGAAATAACGGACTTGGGAGCTACGGCACTCATAAATGAGATAGTGCATAGGACCTGCAGCATTCGGACGGACATCGGAGCGCTCTCTGTAAGCGCACATGTCTGGCTGATGTCAAATATGATCTCCTGCCCTGATAAAAGGCAGTGGCAATCCCTAGGTCCATCTCTGCTCGCACACACTCCTCTTCTCATCTCATCTCCCCCTCACCATAGTTTTTATAACTGTTCTTTGAAACGAATGGCAATTACTAGTGTGTACAACGAGCTACTAACCTCATCTGTCCTGTGGACAGTCGCCCTGCTTGCTGCTTCGGTGTACCTTGTGCAGCTGGTACACACTGCATTCTTTTCTCCTCTTGCCCAGGTCCCAGGGCCGCTCCTGAACAAGTTTTCTAACCTGCCGCTCAAGTACCATGTTATCCGCGGACAATACCATTCGTATACACGCGCACTGCACGCCAAGTATGGCGAAATTGTGCGCATTGGATACAACCACGTCTCTCTGTCCAACACCTCCGATGCTCGGCTCGTTCTTGCCACCCATGCATTTCTGAAAGGCCCTATGTATGAAAAGGGGCACCTGATTGAGGCCAATACCTTCTCGACTGTCGACCCTGAGGAGAACAAGATACGCAGGCGCCAGATTGGAAGTGCATTTGCGATGCACACTATGCGTGCTGTTGAGGATACAGTAGTCGATGCCGGCGCAAACTCGCTCATCAGCGTGTGGGACGCTGAAATCTCCAAGCAAGGAGGGGCAGCCAAGGTCAACTACTTTTACTCATTCCACCGTATGGGCTATGATGTTATCGGCGCAATTGGCTTTGGGGAGAGCTTCAACATTTTGAAAACCGGAAACACGGATGTCATTGACTGGATGCAGGACACGGTGCACCTCAAGTCATTCCGTAGCCTGTCACCAATGCTTGTCAAGATCCCATGGCTGTTTTCAAAGCTCAAGCATTCACACAACCAGATGGTTGCTACGACTTTGGGCCGAGTGGAGATGCGCAAGCGGCTTATCGAAGAAGCTGGTGCGCCGCCGCGCGTCGATGTGCTGCAAAAGTTTATCGATGCAGAGGATCCTGTTACTGGCGACAAGCTAACGCTTCGCCAGCTCCAGTCGGAGGTGGCCCTGATGCTCGTTGCTGGCACCGACACTACCAGCAACACGATAACGTACGCAATTGTCCATTTGCTTCACAACCCCAGCGTTTACAAGCGTGTCACCGAAGAAGTCCGCTCTACATTCCCAGATAGCTTCCAGGTCATCTCGTTTGAGGACGCAAAAGCCAAGCTACCGTATCTCTCGGCAGTCATCTATGAGACAATGCGAGTCAACCCCTCAGTCTCAGGCATGCTTCCACGCAGCGCTCCGGCGAAGGGGGCAACCATTCAGGGATACAACATCCCGCACGATACGCAGATTTGCGTGTCAATCGCCGCTTGTCACCGCAATCCGCATACATGGAAGAACCCCGATGTATT